TACTGCAGAGATGATTGATTCTCATAGTACTGTTCAGCTAAGTATGTCTGCATGTGTGTATGCTTTGTGTTTCAGGTTGGAAGTGATGAACCTCTGAATGTGAGCACCAATGTGTTTAGTCTGGCCAATAAGACGCTCCGACTTGACAAAATCAAAGGTTAATATACTTGACCTTTTTAGAAACCCATAAATTTACCTCAATGTGAAACAGGCTGATTAATGTTTATAACATTTATTGTAATACAGCATGCAGCTACCAGAGGAGCACAATAAGCCACAGGATGAAAACAAACCTACTTAGCTGATAAGTAAATGAAAACAGTCTTCAGTGAAATCAGATAACAGCACATTTCATCTCTCCATCAGCTGATTATGTTGGCGATACATTGGCCATTATTGTGTGTTCTCTGGTGCTGTCTGTGGCTCCTTATTGATTTAATCGTTTCTTAATGGCTCGTACAAAGTGTTTTTCAGCTCGTGGTGCTCTCTCCCTTGAGGCTGTCTGAAGAGTCTTTTCACTGTCCATTTTGCGGTCATGTTTTTTCTGCATCACTGTTTGCATGTTTCTTTCTTTACTTTGCTTTCTCTTTGTGCATTTCTCTTTTAGCCACTTTTTTTTTTTTCTTTTAAATTGAAGTTAAAATGTCTGAGTCCATTTGGTTTGTTGAATGCTGTGCCACTTTCAGTTCACTCACCTCTTTTCCTGACTGCTGAGGCTAGATCTGACTTCAGTTTGGATCAGTGCTCTCGGCCTCAGATTCTTTTTATTTTGTTCAGGAGGAACTAAGTAGATTCAATTAGAGTGGTTGTATCCCAGGAGGACCATTTTAATACTTAAGATGTTTTATCTGCCTAATGTCAGTGTTTAACGTAATGGGTATGCTAAAGTTCTGTAGCATCGTCAGCTTTTTGTTGACTACTTGTACACTGAAAATAAGAGTACTGTTAGAAACTCATTTCCATCTTTGTATGTATACAGGCAAAGAGCAGACCAGCATTTCCAGAGGCGGCAGTTCTGCAGCCAACCAGGTGAGGCAGTGTTTATTGAAGCGTCAATAAAACGCAAACAAAAATAATTTTACCATCATGAAGAAACTTTGAATTGCTGCTTTGTGATTCTTAGGCATAAATATTCTTTTGTGACTTTTGGGTAACTTATTTTGGAAAAATAACAACTCAAATGAGAATTTTTGTATGAAGCCAAGGCTGAACATGAATAGTGTTAAACAACCTTCATTACCTTCTTAGACAAGTCCCTATGTTGCCCTTTTTTGACTATTTTATGGGACCAGTCATTTCCCTTTAACAGTATCTATATAAACATACATTATATAAATCTATGAAAAGTGGTATGTTGCAGTGTGTAAATGGGCCTCATTCACAAACTACATTATGTCAAATCTATATAATCTTTCTGTACAAATGTTTAATGGACTAGTGTAAGCATATACATGCTGGTACTCTGCAAAGAAGACTTAAAACCTCCTGATCACCAGATGGTTTTGGGTAATTTTAACAGACATCTTTGTATTCAAGGTAAAATAAGAATATTGTCAGAAATGATCGTTTATAGTTTTCCAACTTGGTATCACAAAATGTTTACAAAATTAAATGACTATAAGGAATATGTTAGCTAAAATGATTTAGGCCTTAGCCTACATTTTTATCCTTTCAATATGAGGTCTCACCAGTTCAAAAACAATACAGAAGGCAAAGTCTGAGACATTTCAGGCTATATTGCTTTAATGATTTATTTATTCTTATAACTTTTATCCAGCGCACTCCTTCTGGGAAGGCTTTCTACAAGTTTTAGGAGTGTGTTCATTGGAATTTTTGATCATTCTTCCAGAAGCGCGTTTGTGAGGTCAGACGGTAATATTGGACGAGAAAGCCTGGCTCACAGTCTCTGCTCTAATTCATCCCAAAGGTGTTCTATCAGGTTGAGGTCAGGACTCTGTGCAGGCCAGTCAAGTTCTTCCACACCAAACACGCTCAACCGCTGTCTTTATAGACCTTGATTTGTGTACTGGTGCGCAAGTCATGTTGGAACAAGAAGGGGCCGTCCCCAAACTGTTCCTACAAAGTTGGGAGCATGAAATAGTCCAAAATGTCTTGGTATGCTGGAGCATAAAGAGTTCCTTTTACTGGAACTAAGGGGCTGAGCCCAAGTCCTGTAAAGCAATATGCCAAAACCCCCTCCCCCAGACTGTACAATGCAGTCAGACTACCACTCCTCTGGCAACCAGCAAACCCAGACTTGTTCAACAGATTGCCAGATGGAGAAGTGCGATTTGTCATGTTTCCACTTCTCTAGTCCAGTGGCAGCGTGCTTTAAGACTCTGGCGTTTGAATTGCACTTGTTGATGTAAGGGTTGAATGCAGCTACTTTGCCATGGGAACCACTCCATGAAGCTCTTTACACACTCACTCTTGAGCTACTCTAAAGGGTACAAAAGTTAGAAGGGGTGTGTGACCTCTATGCGCTATGCTGCTGAGGTCTCAATAAACAAAAAACATGTCTTTTTATTTGCCATTCTGCCCTTCAGGTGTTGGTCTTGTGCACTTTTGAATTATTTTTGGCACTGCTGCAATTTTAAATTGCTCCCTAGATGTCTTTTTCTAGCCACCTGTATGCTTCAAATATGCCATAAATATACCTCAAACTCCAGCTGATCTAATCCTTATGTTGAGGAGCATCCCTAGTAATAAGAGTTGGGTCTCTGACTGTGAGCCACACACCTTTTCTTCAAGATAAAATGCAAGTTGAAGTGAGACACACTAAAGGAGGTTCGTTTGTACTGCAAGGAGGAGCGATCTCAAACTAAGTCTGGAAATGGTATATGGCTGCACAAGACGCCGTCAGATTCAATGATTAAAACTAGAAATGAAAACTTACTAAGTGTTACTGAGATTTTAAACCTTGTGAGCTGAGAAATGGTTTGTTGATGATGCTGAAATCTGTTTTAGTCCCAGGGAGGAGCAGCAAGTACAGGTCCAGAAGCCAGATCACTGAGCCAAGACGGAGCTAAGGCTCAGCCAAGGTCTACCAAGAACCGCGAGATGGACGGTAGGATGACTTGGCAATATCTAGTGTGGTTTGGTTTAAGGTTATTGAATTAGCTGAGTTGTTTTCAATGTGGGGAAATAATTTTGTTATATCAGTCTTTATCTGCATGCCAAAATATATACATGTAGGTAATACTTCATTAGAATATACATGATTGTTGCATCGTGAAGTTGTATGACTATCTTTATTAGCCAACCCATCTAAAAAGGATGGGCATTTTGAGGCATATGCGTTTTAGCTTTTTACCCCTCAGCTTTAAAAGGCTGATGGGGTATTGTCGTCACTTGCTGGATGGGTGGCATGGACACAGGTTTGGGATTCTGATATCTTGAAAACAATGCCTTGTAGAACTTTTATAACTGATACCATAGATGCATCCGCTAAAAGTCTTGGATGAGTTTGAATCGGTGACCTCGACCAATGGAATGCAATGGGTACTTCTGCCAGGAGGCTTGGGGGGGGGGTAGGTAGCACCACTGGCAGGTAACAGTATTGAGTTTTTTTTTTTTTGTTTTTTTTCTCAGATGTTTTATATTATTATTGAAATTCTGTTCAATATCAAGATTATTGTCAATATATCAACTATTTAGATTACAAATTAGATTGGATGAAACTTTATTAATCCCTTGAGTGGGTTCCTCCGGGAAATTCAGATTATATTACATTTATCTGTTTATCAGAACAAGAGGGCAACAATAACAATGATTTGTCCATGCCAGGGTTCCTTGACATGCTGACGAGGGCTCAGAACTCCAGGGTGGATGATCAGCGAGGTCTTCTCACCAAAGAGCAGCTGGAGGTTCCTTCCTTCCTCCAGCTGCCCACAGAGCAGGTGCAGGAACCAGAGGATCCCAGTATAGCCAGCTCTTCCACTACTGACTCCAAAGCAAAATCTGAGGATAAGAATTCAGCTGAAAATTCAGCCGAAGCAGCGAAGGAAGCCCCCGACTCTGCTAAATCGAAATCCCCAGACATGAGGGAAACAACAGTTTGAAAGACAATCATGTGTTGGATGAACGAAGATGTGATCAAAAAAACTACGACGAACATTTCACAAAACTGTGATATGATTAATTTAAGAAAATTAATGCAAGAAAAAATTAGTCCTATAGCACTTTTTTCTAATTGTTCGCAGTATAAGCTCTGAGAAAGCGGTGTGCTACCACACGCTGCTCTATACTTTTGAATGACCTTTTAAGCCAATTTGTAAATAAGGCAGATCATGGCAAGCATTTATGGTGTCGTTCTAAAACACTACACATCCTTATGGGGAAAATGTTTGCTATGAAATGATTAATTCAACCTTATATGAAAAAGTTATAGGTCAGAATGTCACCCTGAAACTTTAAATGTTTTAGTATACATTTTATTCATCCTCTGATTTGTAATACTGTACAGATTTTGATATATCGTTCACATTTCTTCTGTTTTTTCACAGCCGTACTTTGCAGTAATGTTTTCTTTAAACTAAGCACAGGAAGGAGTGACTGTCCAAAATGGGTTTTAATGTTTTTGCACGGTTTCTTTGCTTCAACATGCATGGAATATTTGATGCAGATTTAGTATTTAATATATTCTTTTTAAATTTGTGTGTTGCATGCTTTAGGTGTGTGTGGTGTGTTGTGTGTGGTTTTTTTATTTTTATTTTTATTTTTTTTATTTTTTATTTTTAAATTATCCTTATGTTTGCTGTGACTGCACTTTGCAAAGCCCTGGTCATGTCCTGTATTCCTGTTCTCTACATCTCAGACTACAGATCAAGATCTAGTTCATTAAATGAGTAATGTGATAATAAAAATGAAATGGTTGCAATGATTCTAATGATAATCCACAGGGTGTATTGAAAAAAATTAAAGTGTTTTATAAGAACATTGTTATCCTGTCCGTCTGCATTTTTTTTTTTCTTTTTTTTGGGGGGGGGGTGATGAATCACTGAGGTCAGTTTCTGGCTTGAGAAATGCTACGTGATTGGGTTTTATATGCAGTGCAGTCAGACCCCACAACCCCTGTGGACCAACTGTGTGATTCATACAGGGTAAAGCAAGTCTTTACACATGTAACTAGCATTGATTACATTATTCATTCCTGAGTCTTCTGGTGTATCTTGGTTAAAGGAAAGCTCTTCGAAAATGCTGTCACATAATGATGTCTTTTTTCTTTTTTTTTAAAGAACCAATCACAGCACTGCAATGCTATGATTGGCTCTTTAAGTTGGTTCTGTGGCCAATGACCAGCTTAATCTGCCTGCAGACTTGTTGCTGGAAGGTGGCTTCCTGTTGTATTTGGCTATTGTATGGGTTACAAAACAATCTGGATGAGTCATAGATGGTCTCATCAACATGAATGATGTCAGCGTTATGCATATTTCAGAGTACATGTTTTGAAAGTATCTCAGTCAAGCCACCTTACATGCATCATCATCTGGTATAATGTGATTGTCATTGAAATAACCTAAAGTAATGATGAGAGCTGTGGACGTCAGCATGGATGTGCAGTGTACAATACCTGTCTGTCACATCCACAGCTTCCCACTGCCAGCCTGGAGACATTAGCACACAAAGCTTTGAGTGACACACCTGGTGGTAGTCTTGGATGTGCGTGTGTGAGGGGGGAGGGGGGGAGCTGGCTGGCTGGCTACTGACTCCATCCGTGAGTGGTGCGTCGGCGGAGCTATGAATGGGCAGAGAGGGGTGTACTCTCACAGACACCATAGCAGCAGTGAGATGAGTGTCATTTACCCCACTGCACGCCTACTGTACTGAGAGGAGAAAAGAGAGGGAAGGAGGTGAGTGTATGAATTAACCCCAGGCATTTCATTTGTCTCATTTGTGATGATTGCAGGGCTCGTTCAGTCAGTAGATGTGGGTGCCTTTTTTTCTCCTCTTTCCATCACCCGCATCATTCATCGTCCACTCCCTTCTGTCACTCAGTGCTTTACTGTGCATGATGAAAAGTACTATGCCTCCTTCATTTCCTCATTCATGGAAAAGCACGTTTTCATTCAGACTGTGCTAGCGCTCTGTCTTGTCTCTGTTTTGTTGTTTACAGCTTTCAGTTTGAGCTAAGCTTCATGTCCATTGTACATCTGGATGAATAACAAGCAGGTTCTGGATTTCTAAAATAGTTCTTCTAATGGGAGCTCACACCGCCTTAGAGAGTCCTGCAAAATATGTGTAAGTGCTGTAAAACAAAACCTGTCCAGCCGATCAATGCAGGCACATTAATGTGGATTGAAAGATTGTGCACAGTTGAAGGGCAGTCTTCAATCAGTCTTCAGTGGGTTAAGAATGAAAAGATTATGGAGTCATAACCATGACTCGGGTATCAGGTGAGATACACATGGCTCAGCTGTGATTCCGACAGAGGGCAGTTGTGCTGGTCAGCTACTGACTTAATACATCCAGCTGGGTGTAGTTGGGATGTGTGCATGTCCCACCTGAGTGTGACAAAACAGACAGCACATCATCATCAATTACACGGCATAATGTCCTTGACACTGAGCCATTTTCATGTGCTCTCTTCCATCACTGCTCACATGCTGACCTTGGTGCTCCAGCCATCTCGCTGTGTGTTGTCTGTGGTAAAACAGCCCATTTTATTACACAAATCCTGGCCACGTGAAGATTTGCGATCAGCATGTTTGCAGACACTTGTGTGGTGGCTGAGAAATGTCAGACACTGATTTTTAACTCCTGGTTTGAATTCCTCCCAAAAGACTTGAAACCATCAACACATGGCTGAAGCGATACAGGCATCCAGTGTCATCACTGTTTGACTAAATCAGCAAATGAAACTAATGACTTCTTATTGTGTTTCCAGGAGGGAGTGATTTGGCAGACCTTTAGGTTGAGCAGGAAGAAGGCAGGAGTGACAGTGTAGAGGCAGAACACACATCCACAGGAAACTTATGCTTAAGGAGCTCTTGTCATGTTCTGTTTCTCAGTTAGGGAGTTAATTAGTGTTGACCCGGACGCAAAGATAGGCTCTGTGTGAGGTTCTTTCAGGGTTATGGATTCAAACCTCCGGAATAGATTTGCTTCTTACGTAACGCAGATGTGAACAGCAGCCTTTATTAAGGATCGTAAAGGCTACGTAGTCATTAAACTTTTCTGCCTTATCTTCTTCCTTCTGCTGCATCTCAAATTGAGTCTGTTTGCCCATCCCTGCAGAACAAAACTTATTCAGTAGCTTTAAATGGTAAAGATTGCTTTGCACGTGTATGCTTCCGTCTGTAGGGGCATGTAAAAGCTTTATGCATGTACATTTCTTTTTATCTATATCAAAAAAAGAGACGTGATGATTTCGATGTGCCACCTTGATTGTTGCTCATGTGGACTAATCGTTGGCGAAGTGTTTCTCAAAGCCACAGGGGTTTTTATCTCTGCTACAAAGGAGCTGAACTTCCACCCGCCTCAGTCTAACCTATACGATCCTCCACTTCTTGGCTTCGTCTGCAGTGGAAGAATTTCTCTTCTACACAAAGATGAAAAGACGGTAACAGAGGAAAGCGGGGGATAGACAGAGTGAGGCAAGCAAGCAAATCATTCACATTTAGGTCATTTCCTTCAGCGAGTTGGTCAGAAAGAGCACTCAGGACTCTTTGAATGCCTGCCCTGCCATGAAGCCTCAGATTATCCTCAGCTGTCCCTCAAAGGGCTATAATGCAGATTTTAAAGTAAGTGCAGAGAGTTCATCATCCCTCCTGGCTGTACCTACCGAACAAACATACATGTTCTGTGGTAATGGAACTTGTATAAAAGAAAGCAGAAACTCCACTGGTACTGACCAAGTGGAGTATTTCTGGCCTCACTGAATATCACATATATTCCACTTCAGGTAGGACTTTGTACCAGAGTTCCCTGCAGCATCAAAAGTGATGCCACCATGATGTCAGCCATCACAGCGAGTGAGTGCGCTCCCGTTGATCATTTCCTATTCATTCTTTATGAGCCCTGGGCTAAATGCTTCCTGTAAGATTAGGCAGATAATCTTACAGGAAGATTAGGCACACACACACACACACACACACACATATATATATATGTGTGTGTGTGTGTGTGTGTGTGTGTGTGTGTGTGTGTGTGTGTGTGTGTGTGTGTGTGTGTGTGTGTGTTTGGCATTCTAGCCTCATCAGTAAGTAATAAGTAAATTGTAATCGCATGCATCTTGGAAAGAGATAAGCTGTCTGTTAGATGTGCTACATTTTGAAAACTCAGCAATGATTGACGCTTTAAAGGCTCTGAAAAAAAAAACAGCTTTTTGTGAAATGACTCAGTTGCCTCAGTTACATAATGGTAATGTTGCATATGTCTCTGCACCAATCAGGATTTAGAAACAGGTATTTTTTTTTAATGTAGAAACATCAAGGATATGAAGTTATTTCTGTTACTATCACATCATTTTTCATATTTATTAGGTTGCAATATGCCAAATTACATTATTAATGCAATTTACAGTTATTTTTATACTATTCATTCACAACAGCAGTCACCTCAAGTTCATTTATATTATAAGGTAAAGACCCTACAATATTAAAGAAACCCCAAGAATTACACAACCTCCTCCGAGCAAGCACCTGGTGACAGTGGGAAGGAAAAACTCCCTATTAACAGGAACAGACCTTCAGCAGAACCAGGCTCAGGGTGGGACACCCATCTGCGGTGACTGGTTGGGGGAGAGGAGAAGGAGAATAGAGGACAGAGAGACAGAACAAATGGCAAATCATAGGAAAAAGACCCAGAAAAAAAATACTGGCAAAAGTGATAGATCCACTTAGATGGTGTTTCTGCTATTCTCTGCAGGATGTAGACAAAAGCATCAGAAAACTACAATAACTTCCTAATTTTAAAGTTTCCGCTTTCAATAATGTTGGTTCCCATGTTCAACCAAGAGCTTTTAAGCTCAAGTCTTTTGTTTGAAATACCTATGACATATTTTATTTCTTCTTTTTGAACAGCAGCACTGAACCACCCCTTCATACCATTAGAATCTCATCGGTGTGCCTGACAGAGAGAAGCAGACATCAAAAGGGAGGCTGATGGACTGTTAAAAAAAGAAAGGGGAAAAAAAGTCTCTTGTTCACTGAACCAGACCCAGTGGTGTTTTGTCCCTCAGCCAACAGGGCTCATGACTCCAGCTGTGGCCCTGGCTGTGACTGTTGCCTAGTGTTCTCTGTGGTCTTTCAGTTCTCGAGGAATCACTGTTTGAGTAACTGTGTGTGTCCTTGTTCAGAGCAGTCCTTCTTTTCACGATTTTATTTGCTGTGACTTGCTGTTTTGCTTTCGTCCTCTCAGCTAAAGTTGAGCTTCTGTTATGTCAACCGTTAGGGCTCCAACAAGCAATGTTTACATACTGAAATACAATTTAAAAAAAAATATTTGGTGGATTTATGTATAATCAAACAAGGTCAGAAGAATTACCACCCTTCTCCCCCCCCCCCCCGTTCTTTTTTTTTTTTTTTAAAGTATGCCTGTTTTGCCAGTAGAGAAAATTGAGCCAAGCTAACCTGTAATCAGTCATAATTTTTGCTTCTAGTGAATCCCAAAGCTAAAAACAAACAACAGGACACTGAAATCTGCAGCAGTGTATCTCTGAGTCAGAGACACCCTCTAGTGAGAAGAGCTCATAACTGCACACTCTCTTGCTCTAGCTTCACTTGGATCTCTTGCAGTGGATCAGACCGCTTAGGGCAAGATTAATTGTTTGCATTTTACTGGATATATTAATGACTTTCCCTTGTCTGTTGTTGTTGCGTGCAGTCACGCTTTTTGAAAGTTTCTCTCGTTTTTTCTCCTAACCTTTTAGTTGCACAGCCAAAGTTTGCAAGAAAAACAGAGTGATCCATCCTAAGTCCCCACAGCCCCGAACATCTGAGGAAAAACTTTCAAGTCAGCCATGGAGCAGAAGACAAATGAGGTACTTAAGAACCCGATACTCTGATACACTAAATTTTAATCATTCGCCGTCTAATGCGACCCTTCCCTCTGCCTAGTGTCCCACCAACACCTCTCCTCAGAAACACATGAAAAATAGGTCTAAGTCCACAGAGGAGGTACAGCAGTCAAAGAAGGTGAGCCTGCAGCAGCCTGATGTTCACCCTAGCACACTATTTCTTCCCTCACCCTATGAGTCAACCTTACTGTCTTTCCTCACAGGCCTTTTCCTCACAAAAATCACTCCCAGGCAGACCAGAGCTGGAGAGAGTGAAGGTGAGATGTATCACTGTTCTACTGTATTGGCATTAAAGCCTAAAGCTATGTTTAAAACCAGAGTTTTATTTTTATTTGTTGCAGGAATGTCCTGATGGCTCTGAGACACCGTCATCCTCCAGCGAAGAACTGAAATGATGAACAAAGCCAAAAAAAGATGCCATAAAGCTACATCATCATAAACCTGAGACATAAAATGTGCAGATGTACACAGAGGAACATGCAGAATAGTATATGAAAAAAATGCAAGCCGTGAATTGATTAAAAGGAGAGAATTGGACTAAAACACACACACACACACACACACACACACACACACACACACACACACACACACACACAAAAATTCACCCTACCGCTGAAACAACATGTATGTGAACAGAAGGACACCTGTGATGATATTGTTTCATTGTACTGTGAGTGGTGTATACATGCCACCTGAATGTGTAGTAACAATAAAGTGATGTTGCTGAGTGAATCTGTGTTTACTAACCTCCACTAAGCCAACTGCCAAATAATAAGGCTGTCGGAAACAATACAGATAGATGATGGTGTGCAGCAGAGGATGAAAGAAGCACAGCTCAAAATCGAAATCTTTATGAAATCACCCAATAATATGTAAGATTATCCCATCGATGCATTCAATGGCAGTCTCAGTGTATTTTTAAATAAAAATAAATAAAGGTGCTGATTTTTAAGGATGGAAGAGCTGCTTCATCACACATAAATATATGTATCATTAGTTTCAAATGTTCTTTTCACCCTGCAACGTCTCCTGCAGTTTTTTTTTTTTTTTTTTTTACAAACTTGGAAGGTCCGAAGCCCAATTTGAAATCTGGCAACCTTCTGCCACCCACGCAATCCTTTAATCATAACTCTGATTACTGCATGAAACTACGATGGAGTGTTTTCTTCTCGGTGATTTATTTTGATTTGCTTGTTGAAGTTCTGTTGATTGATTTGCTCGTTAAAGCCGATTCTCTCTTATGAGCTTTACGTCTGCCACCTACGATAAGAAGTCATTTAAATTCCATGGGTTCCTCTCGCCCTATGACAGCTGGGATAGGCTCCAGCGCCCCCCGTGACCCTGAAAAGGATAAGCGAAAGCGAATGGATGGATGGGTTTTATTTTAATAGTTGTGATTGCTTTTTGTTTTTAATTGTAAAATGCACCTTCTTGGCCAGCAAGCCTGCAGGCCTAACTTCAGCACCCACTAGGGGGCTGCAGCAACCACTTTGGGAATCGCATAATCTGAAACGGAGGCCGTACATGTGGCAGGATTGACGCTTGTTCCTAAACCAGCAGTTTATGTGCTCAAATCATGAAATCAAGTTGATTATTTGAGTCTGATTGTTTCAGTTCTGTGAATGTGAAGCTCCAGTTAAGGTTTTATCTCTTGTGTTAACAACAGACATGAAAAACACACAGATCTATATAAAATATCAGAGTGCTTTTTCTTTTTCTCAAAGCATCATTACTCCCTTCGTGTAGATGACAACAGTGATCAAGGTAGAAGAGATTAGTATTAATCTGAATGACTTGTGCTGATTAGTGTCACCTAGCCAGTCAAAACAAGAACAGAGTCTTTAGAATAAGACACACACCTGTGTAGAGATAATTAACTGACGTTTTGTTCATAGTGTTATGGGCCCCTTTGTTAAAAACCCAGAGGCTTTGCTTTATTTATTTTTTAATATTAGATAAACCAAGCAGGACGCCTTGCGTGGCAGAATTTAGCCCCCGTCTGGTTCATCGGCGTGCTGTGCAGTAGCAGCAGCCACCCTGTGACTCGCACATCTGGAGATGGGATTAACTGCAACGTGGAGTGTTTTTTAACCAAAGAGCTCTAGAGCCGCTCAGTGTGTGTTTACGTGATTACACGTGTGTGTGCGCGCGCGCGTCCATGTGCGCTGGTACATCTGTGCTTCGTTTTTTTTCTCTCTCTCTGTATAATTCTGCTCCAAATCTCAAGGATTTCTCCTCCAGTCGCCACCTACAGCAGCAAACCCAGCTCCCTGAAAAACAACAAGGCTGTTATTTCTCTCAGGCTCCCAGATCTCATAACAGATTGGAAAGCAACAACTTAGTCTAAAGGGTTTATTAAGTTCATAGATGCAAGTCTGGCGTCAGCAGGCTTGGGAGATTTGGTTGAGAGCACTGCTGATATGACAGAACCGCGGCTGCACTAATTATTAACAATTACCCCCACAACAACACAGGCGGGCGCTGCGTGTGGATAGCGGTGCATGCGTGTCAAGAGGCTCTCAGAAAATCTCCTTGATAGTCTATTTCCAATCAAAACAGGCTTGATGCTGAGTGCTGGCAAAGTACCTAAGTACCTGAACATTCTGTACAAGTCAAACAGATTACGCTTTGCGTGTCTGAAATACTTCCACTGACTTATCTCGTGGAAGAAGTGATCATTTAATACCCCGGCTTTAATCTTTGCCAAGACTACGAAACGTGATGGAAACAGCCGCATGAGAATGTGAGCGGACTTAAGAAAACAGGAGCAATCTCCCAGGTTTATCTAAAACACGCCACTAGATGTCAGGTTTCTCCTGCATTGCTACCTAAAAACCTCAAGTGAGAAGGGTTGATAAATCACATCAAACAGGCCACTTCATCTTGCAAGCTTTATCTGGGGCCCAAATCAGGTAAAATAGCTGGCTGAACAAACATAATTTATTACCTAATACACAACAGGCATTTAAGACCTATGCATCATTAACTTAAGACATTGTGTAACTGATTAACAATGCTGTCTCTGATGAGAGAGCAAGTTAATAACCGAGAGATCACGTAGATGTTTCCCCCCTGATACCTCCACACTCGGTCTATTTAAAGATGTTTTAGTCTTCAGTTTGATACCTTCCTTTAGCGGGGTCATGAGCAACACCTAAGCCTTTGGACAAGGTAAGAGGCAACACTATTTTACTATATACACTTTTTTTTTTAAATTCCAGCTTTTATTTCGATGTCTCATACATACTTTTAGAAAATCTTGCCAAGTAAGCTGACTCACACTGACAACATTGGCTAAATGCTTGAGAAAAGCCTGCATTTTTCTACAAAGCAAAACAAAATTGCAGCAACACTAATCGAGAAATTATCCATGTGAGTCACAGAGACAGCCTTAAACACAAACTTGCACGTAACGGCACAAGAGCTGAGACGGGAACGGTGGCAGACTGACAAACAGACGAGCGGGGCAGTTAGATTAGAGGATAACATTCAGTACACACGCTCACAAAATCAGCTCAGATACATTCAGAGTTTATCCTGCTGCAGTGGGCTGTTTCTCCCACATACAGACAGATGTACATATGTTAACGCAGGCCTCCGCGCGCATCTGAAACCTGCAGCAGGATGACACGCGCGGTAAGGATGATGCAGTGACTGTAATTACTGTAATTTTGGCTGCTGTAATTACTTCCATCCTCTTTGCTTTTAAGAGACATTAGTACTCCCTCCTCCACTGGAGTCCCCAAAGTGGAAGACAGAAAAAAAAGAAGGGTGGGATGGGGGTGGGGGTTTGGGATCTCTTCAAATCAAGAGCATGAAACCCTTTGAAGAGACTTGCTCTATAGATGCTGGAGAGTCCCTTGAAGAGCTGGCTCGCAGCTGTAGGAAATGGAAGACAGGATAAGCTACACGGATCCTAATGTGTTCTTCATGATCTGATGAGGTTGTTTAGTTGTTTGGGAGGTGAGACGCCTGACCTCACATCATGGATAGCTGCCAATTACATAACCACGTGGGCTGCCTTCGCTCTCTTCTAATTGCTTGTCTGTTGATCCCTGTACCTCTGTGAGAGATGGGCTCATATACACACTTGTTGGTCTCTGTTGGCTTCTTTTTCTTACTGCTGCAGGTGGCTGATAAATACATCCACTATCAGATCTGTTCCCTCCACGGTGGTAACATCCTGCGATTTTAATTGCTTGCATATCTCCACACAGCACTCACAGCGCCATGTCCTCTCGATCTATAACCATAGTGTCCTCTGGACGGAGCACGGAGCTCGGCTTCAGTGGTAACTCATTAGTTTAAATTCCCACCATTCTTGTTTTATGTCTTTGAATTGCCTGACTCCTCTTCTGCTACCAGGGGTGAGAATACACTCGGCTCAGCTTCCCTCACATCCCAAACTCCCACTGGCGGAGGAGGACAGGGAGTCTGGCATCGGCTCCACCCTTGACCTCACTGGCAGCTTTGAGGGCTGTAACCAACATACCAATCACCACTCCGACAAACCCTCACTGATGGAGGCAGGCACATTCCCCGGGGAGAAAGGTACAAGAGAGGCATAAAGAGGAGAGTGACACATACATCTCCCACGCTGGCAGCAGGTTTAACCTCTTTGAGGCGGTAAATTACAACAGCAGAAGCAAGCCACAGGCTCATTAGATAAGGACATGCTCAGGAGACACACAGTGCCAGTGGGATCATGTGGCCTCTCACTCAGCAGTGTTTGGCTGAATATGGGTTATGAATGTACTTTGTCAGATGGCTTCTATCTCTACATGTGAGAGGACACAGCTATCAGAGAGTTGAGCAGTGGCCAAAAACATGCTGCCGTTTTGTTTCATCAGATAAAATCCCTTAAAAAAAGATTTCAGTCTAACCGTCTCTTTGCTGTTTTCTCCAGACAGATCTCCTCAGACCTCAGCAGCGAGTCCAAACAAGATCAAGAAGGTCCTTATCAATCTATCCAAGATCCCTCTCCTCTTCCTCCTCCTCTTCCTCTTTGTTTGCTCCTTGGACACTCTGAGCTCTGCCTTCCAGTTAGCAGGGGGTAAGCGCTCTGACCCTCACTGCCCCATCAGCAGGTTCATAGTGACTCAGTCTGTTGATGTTTGACAAATAAGTGAGTCACCGAGCACCAGTTCACACCATCCTACTGGGCCCTGCTGCTGTATAATTTACTGCCGAGTTTGATCTGTGACCTTCTTGAAATTGGGGAAACAAACAGTTTGATTTTTGTTTAACATTGCTCTTGGCAACCTTGTGATTCCTAAGACTGGTATTTTTTTATGTGTGTGTTTCTGTGTATGTGGGCGGCATATCTAACCAGGTAAAGTGGCAGGGGACATTTTCCAGGACAATGCAGTGCTGTCTAACCCCGTGGCAGGGCTCGTGGTGGGGATCTTGGTTACTGTGCTGGTTCAGAGCTCATCAACCTCCACCTCCATTGTAGTCAGTCTGGTGGCCTCCGGACGTGAGTAGGCACATAAACGCATGTGCAAATGTGTGAGTGCCAGAATTCAGGTGTGTGCGCGTGTGTGTTTATTGTACTGTCTGCACAGTAGGCTTATGTCTCTGCAGGTTATTATTTTGAATATATAGATAAGTTAACAAACAGAAAACAAAATCCATTACCGTAGCAATAAAACCAGAGAAAATAACACCCCCATGGCGCCTTATTGGCAGCAAAATCAATTTGCAGTCTATAGTTCAAATCGAAATTTTCTGCCTCAAAGTTACAACCCGTATTCCCTGTGGAGGGTTGAATCCATTATGATCAGTTTGTTATTTAGCATTAAGGATTAAATTAGCAAATAAAGTTTGGGTTACATTAACAAACTATACCAGAGGATTGTTTTTTAGAGAACAGGAAGATTTGCTTGCACACATTTCTCCAGCACTCTAATGTAACTAAACTAGCAGATGAACAGCTAAGAGTGATGTTTCCAGTCATCTAGCATCTAAACAACCCCTTGAAAAATATTAAAACGAGCATTGTGCTAACTTTTCGCTCCATAACTCACATTCACAGTTTTATTAATCTCCTGAAAGTGCTAGGAAACCATACAAGTCTATTGTAAATGATTTATCTGTTGCGTGCTACTTTTGGCTGCAGATTAATGCACCGTTGTTGCTTTTCTTTTCTTTTCTTTTCTTTTTAGCTTTCCACTATTTAGATGTTTATGTCAGTTTTCAAACTTGTATAATGAAAGAATGATTAATGTATAGTACTGTACACAAGTCTTGAGTTGCCCCTCATTTCATTACATTTTGATTCCAAAGATCTACATGTGGTCTTGAGCAATAGTTCTCCAGGCTTTCTGAAGGTCTCTCAAAGCATTTCATTGACTTTTCACTTACTTTCAGGTCAGTCCCCATACCTGACTGTTCTCAAAAGGACATTTTTTTGAACCACTGAACACTGACCTATGAATCATTCAAGTTTAAAAAACACCACCTAACTGAAGGGGTGAACCAGTGTTATGTCTACGCAAATAGAAAGAAACAAATTGCACTTTGTTACAGACTGTTGCAAAAATATTTGTTCTTTTCATTTTTGAATCCACAAAAAACAAAAAATGCCAAAGATAATACAGCTGGACAGGATAAAATAGTAGTTTTCTGCCAACAAAGTAGTTTCCAAAGAGCTGTTAGCTGAAAACTCAGTGTGTCCTTAAAAATTGAGTAACCTGGACACGTGAAGGACAAAAGAATAAGGCATACCTAAAAAAAACCCCCAAAAAAACCTATATACAGCAGACAAACAGTATCTGAAAATCATGGCCTTAAGAAATAGGAATGTAATCAATCAAAGATCTGACACAGGACCCGAGAGATGAATCTGGCCCTTCACCTGATCCAGCTACTGTTCAATGATGCCTCATCAGTAATGGTCTCAGTGGAAGGGTGGCTGTCAAGAAGCCATTTCAGAAGAAAGGAAAACAAGAAGAAAAGGCTGAGGTATGCAAGATTACACAAGAACTGGACTAAAAATGAGTGGCAACAGCTCGTACAGAGTGATTAATCCAAATTTGACATTTTTGGTTCAAATCATCATCATTATATCCAGATGAGGTCAGGAGAGAAGCACAAAGAGATTAAAACACAGTAAATGCTATGTGATGGTTTGGGGCTGCTGGAGATCTTTTTTTAAAAACTGATGCAATAATAAACCAAGTATTGTTGATTTTGATCCAACTCAACATTATTGAAGCAGTCTGAGAACATCATGATAGACCAACATCCAAAGAAGAGCTTTAAATGTCCTGCAAGAGCCCAGGAACTATTCCTGAAGACTGCTTAAAGAAAGAAACTCTGTTTTTGCCTTATATGTGTATATTTGCATGTTTCAATTAAACACTGCACCCATTTTCTATTTTCCTTGCAAAATATAAATAAATGAGAGGTGGCTCAAGACGCTAACTGAGACCCATTTCGAGATTCCAGTACTGCAGTTGCAATTTGTAAAAATGATGTAAAATAAGTGTAGTCTGACAGGGTGAAGCAAGATTAGAGGGGCAATCAAATCCAACCTTTCTTACTCTGGGTAATGTCTCATCATCTCAGTCAGCCTTGTGTAAGACCATTATGTGGTAAGGTTACAAGAAAATGTTCAGGCTTCTGCATGTAGGTCTTCCACCTTTGCTCTGGGTAGTTAAAGTGAATTACATCAGTATGCAGGAGTTGCTGCTCTGCTTCCAAAGATTTGTTTTAAATAAGAGAGCCATGAGGATGATTAGAGGTAATTATTGGAGACTGAAAGATATGGAAAGGCATAAATGTTTGTCTTCCTGATGTCTGCCCTCTGGGTCATCACCATTAAAGGCGTATTCAAAAATAACCCATCTCCAAAGCCGTGTCACTTAGCCTAGAATTACAATCACCTCTCATTTCCATTAAAACACATGTTGCATCAAAAAAGTACAAGGCCATTTTCTGTAATTATATATATATATATATATATATATATATAATATATATATATATATATATATATATATATTATATATACTATATATATTATATATATATGCATTTACAGTGTTTAGTTTTAGTTTAGTTTAGTTTAGTTTTTTTGTAACATGCTTCTTCATTTTCGTCTCATCTCATAGTTTTAGAAGTCAGGTCGGCTGTTCCAGTCATCATGGGGACCAATATTGGGACTTCGGTTACAAATACCATAGTGGCCATGATGCAAGCGGCAGAACGAACTGAGTTTCAACGGTGAGTGACAAAACACAGCAAGACCGAGGAGGAGAGTGGAGGTAGAATAGGGTGGGGGTTGAGGCAAGAAGACACTGAAATGGAAAAGTGAAGTGGATAAGTGGTTAGATGGAGGGAAGAGGGAAAAAGTGTTAAGAGAGCAGAGGAGAAAGTAGAGGAGGATGATGAGAAAGCATCGGCAGCTGTAGCTGCAGCTTCACACTATAATAATGGCACCAGTCCACACTAATCCTATACCAGTAACCAGTGCGCCAGACAGATGGTGCGTTAATCTATTACCACTAAAATAAATATCATTTAACCTTTCATAATATACACACGTCAAAACTCAAATGCTTATTACATCACTGCCAAAGACCAAAAAAGCAAAAGTTGAGCTGTGAAAAGGAGATTAACAAGCAATCACTCTGAGTAGTTTATGATGCTCCTGGATAGCTAACACAGAAAATGACTGTGATCCACGATAGTGCTTTTGCCGGAGCAACAATCCATGACTGCTTCAACTGGCTGTCAGTCCTGGTTCTGTTGCCCCTGGAGGTGGCGAGCGGGTTCATGACTCGGCTGTCTCACCTGCTGGTCACCACTCTGAGGCTCGAGCCAGGGGAGGAAGCACCCGAGCTACTCAAGGTCATCACGGAGCCAGTCACCAAGCTTATCATACAGGTAAAACCATCAGACGCCATTTTTTCTAATTTACTGTTTACTATGCCCCTTCATTGGACTGCAGCCCTCTATGATCTCAGCTTAGTAACTGTGATGTTACTCACAGCAGGTCAGCAATGTTGTGATTTATTTGTAATTTATATTTATTTTCTTTTTCTGTCCAAAACCAAACATCACAGAAACCAAAATGTAAGAAATAGATTAAACACAACATGGTAGAAGGCAATTCTGAGCACATAATTGATGGGTGTCTCTGTCGAAACACCATAACTCAAAAATCTTCAAATAAATTTTGATTAAGCTTTGTAGGGGTGTAGAGTCGGGTCATCAGCAACCCGTTAAAATTTGGCTTATCACAATTTTTCTTCTACTTATAATGCCTGAACTTGACACTACACAGCAAAATCATGGTAAGGTTATTTCAACATCATGAAAAAGTAAAGTATAAAATAAATGATGCACGTCATATTTAGAAATATCTGGAATATTTTTTCAAGTAAATAGTGAAAAATGTCACTTCAAAACCATCTCATGTATCATCTAACTCGTTAGCTGAGGTCACTGCTGAAAACTGATAAACTCGATCAGCAATTCAGCTGCCAAGGAAAAAACCCAAAACAAAACAAAAAAATTGTGGTGAAAAATGAATGTACATCTTCTTTCACCCTCAGCTGGACAAGTGTGTGATCACAGGGATCGCCATGGGGAAGGAGGGCATGAGGAACAGGAGCTTGGTGAAAGAATGGTGCCAGACCAACCTTGTTATGGTAATGTCTCATCTCTAGCCCTGTCTCCTTCACATCGTGGGGCGATCGTGGCTCAAGAGTTGGGAGTTCGCCTTGTAATCGGAAGGTTGCCGGTTCGAGCCCCTGCTTGGACAGTCTCGGTCGTTGTGTCCTTGGGCAAGACACTTCTTTGCCTACTGGTGGTGACAGAGGGCCCGGTGGCGCCAGGCAGCCTCGCCTCTATCAGTGCGCCCTAGGGTGGCTATGGCTACAATGTAGCTTGCCGTGTGTGTGAATGGGTGGATGACTGGTTGTGTAAAGCGCTTTGGGGTCCTTAGGGACTAGTAAAGCACTATACAAATACAGGCCATTTACCATACTGTGTCACTGTGTACTGGCGCCAAATGGAGCTTGTCACTGATGTCAGTAAAAATGGCCTGGCTAATGTCTTTCTTTCTTTCTTTCTTTTATCTATCCATAAATCCGTAGTCTCATCACAACGTGAGCACTGAAAGCTGTGACTCCAGCCATGACTTGCAAACACACGTGAAGTGTAAGTTAACCTAAAGTCCTATCTGAATCTGAATCAATCATATAGTAAGCCGGAACCAATCTGTACAACCTCATATCCAAAGAAGTTAACATAATGCCATAATGTTGGTATACAAGCAGTGTGTTCTGGATAAAAGGCTTCCCTTATTTCAACAAGAAAAGGCCAAAACTGAACTGGTCTTCTCAAGAAATTTTTATTTACATAGCAAAACAGTCGATACAAGTATAACTAAGCAGTAAGAGAACATTATCAAAAAATATGGCAAACTAAATGGTGGTAAATTGAACTTCAAGTTTTGTCACTTTGCATAGTGTCTCAACTCATTTGGTAAGGTATAAATGCAGTCAAATATCCTGTTATTGTGGCTTTCTTTGTAGGTAGACATTTGTTTGCATCTGCTGAGATGTCAGACCTCACAGTGGGCCTCATCCTACTCGCCACCTCGCTGGCTGTCCTGTGCACATGTTTGCTGCTTCTAGTCAAACTGCTCAACTCTCTTCTTAAAGGCCAAGTAGCAAAGGCCATCCATAAAGTCATCAACACAGGTTAGTCTAAATTTGAGCTACCAAATGAATAAATAAAAAATGAATATCTTGACTTGTTAGGAAACAAATAATGGATTGCATTTATATAGCGCTTTTCAAGATCCTCAAAGCACTTTACGATTCCACTATTCATTCACACACTGGTGGAAGGCAAACCACAGTTGTAGCCACAGCTGCCCTGAGGCAGACTGACAGAAGCAAGGCTGCCATATCGCGCCATCGGCCCCTCTGGCCAACACTAGTAGGTGGTAGGGTAAAGTGTCTTGCCCAAGGACACAACGACCGAGACTGTCTGAGCCGGGGCTCGAACCGGCAACCTTCCGATCACAAGATGAACTGCCAACTCTTGAGCCAGGATAAACCCATCAACCCATCAGCACTAAGTAATACAGTTAACCCATCGTGTGTGATTTGTATTACTTAGTGCTATGTGTAGCTCCAGGAAGTCACTGTACTGAACAAACAGCAAAACATCAACCAGTGTTGCTAAAGTTCTCAAAAAAGTAATGTATTACACAATACTTGTTATATTTTAAACTAATGCATTATGTTATTTGGAGAAAGTAATTCTCTATCCTACTCAGGAGATGAGATCTTTCTTTTAGTGTTTAAATTTGAATCAAAAGAAAGGTGAAAACTTGGCCACAGAGGACCTCACCACTGAGACTGTACTGCAAAAGCATTTACAGGTTGAAATGGAAGCTAAAAAGCTAGAAGAAAAATAAAATTACATCTATATTTCCTAGTGACAAAGGTTGCAGGTGCAACACCATTTCCCCCACACAGCAGAAAAGCTGACTGTAGTTGAAAAAAAGAAAAAGCTTTAATGCTCTTTTCTCTCTTTCCACCCACCTCTTTATAAAGTGAGAACCAACATAACTGTTACTGCAATGTTATTACTGAAATTAACACACTAATACATTCCATTATTGCATCACATAAAAATGTAATGTGATTGCATGAAGCTGTACTTTCCAACACTCATAATAACCCAGGTTAAACTGCTACAGTTACTAAAGGAGAAAAGGCCAGTGTAACTAAGCTGGAAGAAACTGGTGTGAGAAGGCACTTGGAAAAGGTGCAATGGGAGTGGAAACCTCTGCAGGGATATACTAACAATGGGCAAATTTACATATGCACATGGATCGTGTTCAATTCAGTAATGACCAAAATCTCTATCAAGAGAAGTGCAGATTGGAAGTGCAAATTTTCGCCCAGATTGCTGATGAATTTTTGAGAAACACCATCAGCAACCTGGGCAAGCATTGTGAGCTGTCCATGGTACTGAAATGCTAAACACAATGGTGAATTTAAGCTTTTTTTAATTTTATTTTTTTTTATTCTTATTATGTGTCAGTATATTATAATTATTTGTTTTATATGTGTGAGGGATGTTGTGAAGCCTTACAAAATTCACACAAAAATCATTTGAGAGTTTATTGAAGCCCTGCCTGACTTCTTGATTTGAAAAGCTTCAGAGCTCAAGTGAAACTTCCAGCTCATATTGGCCAGCTCCAAATATGCATGTTTCCTTGCCTTGTTAACCCATAAGAGGGAGTTCTCAGAATGAGCTTTCAGGGTCCTGGTAGGTGTTTATGACTGCCTTTGATCAGCAATTCTTCTTAGTTTTAGCATCAACGGGCAGATGAGTGTAGAACTGACATTTTAGCTTAACATAGATTTTTAACTGAAGGGGGTTACATGGAAAATGTAAGCACTTTATTCTTTAAAGTTAAAAATGATTCAAGTTTCTCTTGTGCATCACTGCAGACCTTCCCTATCCATTTGGGTGGCTGGCAGGATACATCGCCATGTTTGTGGGTGCAGGTGTGACATTTGTGGTGCAGAGTAGCTCTGTCTTTACTTCAGCCATGACTCCTCTTATAGGTGAGTGATGTATGTTTTTGCTCTTTTGAATGTCAAAGTCTGCACACCATGTGCACAAATCTTTGCCAAGCTTCGTGGATTTTATCTGTTTATTCTTTTTTAACTTTAGTCCCCTCAATCAATTCGGGCTGCATGATTATAGGCAAAAATCACAATTAATTTGTTCAATATTGGTATCTATCTATCTATCTATCTATCTATCTATCTATCTATCTATCTATCTATCTATCTATCTATCTATCTATCTATCTATCTATCTATCTATCTATCT